CACAAGCTCTTTTCCTTTAAGATTTATTTCTGTTTTTCATTATCAAATGTCCCTATATCAGCAGCAGCTGGTGGTTAAAACTTTTTTATCTTCTGCCAATGTGAGTTTTTTATTTTAACTTTTTAATGCTCCTTTAAACAAAATTTATAATTGGTTCCCTTAGGGAATATGCTATATTTTACTCTTGTATGTGTTAATTCAAATAAAATACACTCTACCAAATGCTCACTTTCAGTGGATTCAGGGAAGGGAGGAAGTGTTGTAAAAAGAAAGGCATGGTCTCTGCCCTCAAAGAGCTTAGGTATAATCTCCCAGCAGGGGTAAGGCGCGGCTGCTCACGCCTGTAATCCCAGCACTTTGGGAGGCCGAGGCGGGTGAATCACGAAATCAGGAGCTCGAGACCATTCTGGCTAACACAGTGAAACCCCGTCTCTACTAAAAAATACAAAAAAATTAGCAAGGCGTGGTGGCGGGCGCCTGTAGTCCCGGCTACTCCGGAGGCTGAGGCAGGAGAATGGTATGAACCCGGGAGGCAGAGCTTGCAGTGAGCCAAAATCAGGCCACTGCACTCCAGCCTGGGCAACAAAGCAAGACTCTGTCTCAAAAAAAAACAAAAAACAAAAAAAAAAAAACAACAAAAAAAAAATCCCAGGAGGAATTAAAACCAAGGCCTCTGAAATAGTTGACTAATTATATATGGTACAAGTAGTAAATGTTAAAGAAGTGGTTAAAATAACAAGAGTTCTAAGATTTCAGAGAATGGAGATCTTTCTGTGGACTCAAGAACTCAGGAGGTAGAAACTAAATGTGGCCCAGAAGAATGACAAATAAGAGTTTTATTGGACATAGAGGAAGAGGTGGGCCTCTCAGGCAGGAAGCATGGCAAAAGAACTTAGCTGAGAATGGGTAGGGAGGAATCGTGTAGAAATAATGGCAAGTACTGCCACAGGTGGCTTAGGGGCTTCTGTTAGGAGACCTTGAAACCCAGACTCAAGAGTTTGCACTCTAATGATAACAGGATACAAGTAAATGTTTTGAACCAGATAATGACATGGTGAACTCTAATTTGCTTCTTCTTAATAATGCTGCTACTGTAACCTTCATTTTTTGTAAGATAGAATCTAAACTTATATAGGCCTAGCTTTTAGCACCTCTGTGTGTGCATCTGTGTGTTTGTATACGTGACTGTTTATTCATGGCTTTTAGATTGGTTTCTATTCAACACTACAACATTTTCCTCTAATGGACTTGCAGGAGGCAAAATGTATTCATGATACATATTTTAATTACAGGTGGCAGGAATCCAGCTTGAAAAGCTTTATAGAAATAGGAGAATTTATTGGGAGAATAATGAGATATCCCATAGAATCCAGGGGAAATCTAAGCTACGGAAATGTCAGTAATACAACTGGGCTCAGGAACTATCCAGGAATAGAAGAATTCAGGATTTTCTTTATCTCTAGTCAATGTACCTTTTTATTTATCTGCTCCATTTTTCTTTCTCCTTGTGTAAATCAGTTAATTTACATTCTATGGCATAAAATTAATATGAGGAATTCTCAGATTAATTTACAATTAACATCTTTGGTTTCAGGAGACAATGCCAGAGCTCTCACTCTAAAATTCACAATCTCAGAGAAGGGGTTCAGTGGCCCAGTTTGATCCGGGTTCTAACTTCTTATATATCAACTGTGACCCTCTGTGGGGCAGAGTCATATTGTATAAAATCATTGCTCCTATGTTAAAAATGTGAATGCCAAGGGGAGATATTTCTAGAAAAGTTGAGGATGGACCACCAGAGAAGAAATGTGTCTTGCACACAGAAGTGATCATCTCAACCATCTTTTAATAAGGGAATATATAATTTTAACTAAAAGGGCACTTATTACACAGGAATGCTAAATCACCATCCAAAGCTTAGGCCAAACTAAGGCAGTTTGGATAGGCTCTCAGAGCCTCATTTTTTCCTATATTTCTGCTCTACTATCTTACAAGTAAGTGTCTGGGTTCCTTCTTTAACAGGAAGACAGAAAATGGAAACCTAGAAGATAGAACCCTGATGGAGGGGTGACTTGTGAATAAATATCCCTGAATAAATATTGGTCTGCGCCAATAGTTTCTGCATTGCTGGAAGGTCCCTCTCAAAACTGCCTTAGCCAAGGGTTCATTGGTCAGCCTGAGCATGTGATACAATGATTTATTTAATTGAAAGCAAGCAGAAACAGATGGGGACATCAGCTGCTACTGCACATTGGTTGCTACTACTGGAAAATTGGTTGCTGTAACAAGCACACATGGGAAAGAACAAAGTGTTGAGATGATCACAAATGGGATTATAAAGGTTAATACATGTGTATAGTTATTACTTTTCAAGCTATCACTAAGATTCATCTTTGAACTGGAAATCAGGATAAACATCTCAGAAATTTGAAATGGCAAATGTCAAGTTTCTGTATTTACCTATTTGCATGTATGTGTGCTCTTGCATTAAGCCTTTCAGTTTACTGCAATATGCATTTCAACTGAAATATAAACTCATAGAAGCAGGAAGCTCGTTTAAAATTTTTTTGGCTACAAATCCTCCTCTCCCCACCACTTCTACCCATCTTTTGTGTCTAAAACATTAACTTGACCCAGGAATTGTTCAATGAATATTTACTTATTGGTGGATTTATGACATAAATATTTTAGTAAGAATCCTCAGATGGTCATATGCAAAGTGAGTTGGGTAGTAGATGGAGAAAAGACTAAATATAGCAAAATACATTTGTCTCAGCTTACTAGTCTGTAGACATACTGATAAGGATCTCTACAGTCCGATAGCAATGGATCTGAAAAGAAATAATTATTTTTCAAAAAGACTATGAAGAAAAGGAATAATAGGATTTAGAAATTGTTTGGCTATTGTGTGTTCAGAAAAAAAATTAGTAAAAGGTAATGTAAATTTTTAAACTAGGAGAATAATAGAGTTAGGGAAAACTAGAGAGAGATTTGAAGGAAGAATAAGTTTTAGGAGATTCAAAAATATTTAAGTGGAAATAACTAATAATATTTCATTATTATGACATAACATTTTCCAAAAGAAAGTGCCAAGATGCTTTAAAATGGATCTCAAGATGAACATGCCTATTACTAAATAAAAGCTGACGTCTGGAAAATTATCTGAGATGATAATCAAAGCCATAAGATCTGATTCTTAAAAATTTGAAGCAAATTTTAACTAGACTATTACCATGCTTTAAACTTACATATATGAATGGGGCTGAAAAACATTCAATGAAAAACTTCAGTAACCTACCATACTAAATAGACCTATACTTTGATATAGAAGAAAGAATCTGGATTTGGATTTCAAAGATTTGGATTCTTATCTCACCACTACCACTAACTAGCTACGTAATGTTAGATAAGTCTGATACGCTGGCTAGACTCAGTGTCCATCAGTAAAAAGACAATATTTGTATAGATGTTCTCCAAGATTCCTTCCAGTTCTGAAATTCTCAGATTCAACTCTCAATATGGACTTGCAGACTTGACTTTCAAAGATGCTGTTCTGTGCTTTCACTTAATACAAGGCTAGTGATTCTGTTTGACATCTGGAGGTCTTATGGAACTAGGACTCAATTCATAAGAATAAATACATTTGAAGAGATGATTCAGTAATTGTGGGGTTTGTTTTGTCTACAGTAATTCACAATGGCTACCTCAATTTAACCAGTCCCTCATGGTTACAGTAATCGATGATTTTGCAATATTTTTTGATGCTTTACTTCCATATAAGAATGTATCTTGGTATGAAAGTTCTGTCAACAATGGAACACTTGGCAAGGTCAGGAGATACTTTTGGTTGTCACATCTACTAGGGTGGTATTACTGGCATTTTGTTGTCAGAGATCTGGAATGCTGTTAAACATTCTACAACGCACAGGACAATTCCTCTCTCCTCTAACAAAGAATTCTCCACTCAAGATATCAATAGTGTCGAGTTTGAAAAACAATTTTTCTTCCTCACCTTTCTTAAGTCCTTAACAAATTAGCCTTAAAAACATCAGACAATATAGCCATTTCACCACTGTCCTGCTCACTTAGTCTTCTCACATGTCCATCCTTGCAAAGTTGTATGGAGGGCACATGACCCTAGTTCTCCTGATTTCTGTGGGGAGAGGGGAGGAAAAAATGAGAACTGAATCTGCAAGATGACCTTAGAGTTGGGTCTAAACTCACAAACTAAGTGATTAAGTTTTCAAAAGGAATTCAGAGTCAGTACAACAACAGGCTTTATTTTTTCTCCCTACTGTATTTGTCACTTTTGAGCAGGTAATTTTGGTGAATAGAAACTAAGACTTACAGGGGAAGCTAATGAGTTTATTCAAGAAGCACAATGTGAAATTAGTGACATCGTTTGGAAAAATTAACTCTCTCAGACAAAGCTTGTAAAAATTGATTAACACACTAGTAGTGGCTATTGAAAGGACATGCTTTCACATCTTTTACAAAACAACTTTCAGTTATTATGAAAGTGTATACGTATTTGGAATTAACACACATTTATGTACTTAAGTGTTCTTTTTTCTCCTAATGTTGCATTTTTAGTTTCTGCAAATTTGTTCACAGTTATATTATTTGGAAAATAGGACTGTACAGAAGCAAACTTGGGCTGCTGATAAAGTGATCTGTGTCACCTGGCTCTATTAGTCTTTTCTTTTCTTCCCTTTTTGTTATTATTTATTGGCATTTAGCCTGCAGCAAAACATAAGTTTTAAATGTGGACTTTATGGTGTGTGTGAGTCAGTCTAGGGAGGGTAAAGTATTTCAAGAGCAGTACAAAATATAAGTATTCTTGAATTTTAATTTTAAGCAGTTTAACATAGGTATGCAATGAAGGTTTATTTATTGAATTTGAAAAATTAATTTCTTACAGCCTTGAGTGTATTTTGCTTTGCCTGCCCCTGGGTTTGTACATATTGGTGTTTTATTCTTCCTTTTTAATATTTCAACAGGTGAGGCTGGCAAGAAGGCTGATGATGCTGTTTTACACCTAGAGGTCTTATGGAACCAGGACTGCATTTGTACGTGGAACAAACAACTTTGGGGGATGGTTTAATAATTGCCTTTGGTAGGGCTTGTCTCACATTCATTAAAAACTCCAGGCAAGGCTGCTTCCTTGATCATCATTTCTTTTCAGTTGCCAAGCAAACAAACAAACAAAACTCCCTTCCTGATAGTTACTTAGTTATCTAACCTAGAATGTCTTTGACTAAAGTCAACATTTAGAGGTTAGAGGTTGGCAGACATTTGGGTAATTGCTGGAATGGATAACTAGTCTGCTTTTCTTGTTTTTAAAAACATTTGAGATACTATTTATTTATTTTATTTATTATTGTTTATTTTAACCTTATACCACATTAAGGTTTCATTGTCAAAAATATTTATTGTGTTCTCTCTTTGGTGAATGAAAAATATCATGTTGCCTAATTATCTTTGATGTAGGAAATGACTAGAGCATAATTAATATAAAAGATAATGATTTTATTATTTAGGAAATGATAAGGGAATACTAAACCTCTGTCTAGTTCATAATTACAGATATTGGAAACCATCTATCTTTTTTTCTCATTTTGTTTTATAACTAGATCTGACTTTAGGCTTATAAAAGTGACATTCTATATGAAGCCCACAGAAATACATCTTGTATAGAAAGTAGACAGCCAGTATTCACTTTTCTGTGTCAAAGGAATGCCCATAAGAATTGTTGGTAGGCGTCTAAATGTGGAGGTAAGTAATAAGCAGGTATTGACTTCTGTTGAGATCAATATCAAGATTTGTTGACCCAAAGAGGTTAAAATTGACTGAAGAGTGGGACAATAAATCTTGTTATTGACTAGAAAGCAGAAGTCAATATATGTATTATTATAAACATTTTTCTTTTGGTGTAGATGATAGGGGTGGAGTCATTTTTAAGACCTTAAATGCACATGGCCATATGTTTTTTATATCATGGTGGTGGCCAATACAGGCTCCTTGGCTTATTAAAACAGTGGCTATTCACATGACATCAATCACATACCTGGTTCATCATTTGCCATTTCAACTATCTTTCTCCCTGTACTTTAGGCCCTCTTATCCTGATTAATTTCAAATTCAGATGTGGAATACACAAGCTTGTCTAATGAAACTTTGTTTTTTAAAAAACAAAACACACTTATCCTTTGTTTCTCTAGACAGCAGTTGACATCTTCCCAACAGCCTTACATTTTCAGGCAATGGAAAGACTTCCTTCTAGGCTGCACTTTGCAAGATGACTCTTCCCTTCAGTTGAGCTATTATATTTACTAGGTCATCTAAAAAGCATGTCACTTTTAAAGACTGACTTTTAAAAAATGTATATTTTAAATGAGGAGTTTTTTGAAACCACAAAATATATGCAAGTTAGGTCATTTCTAAGACTTTCTATTCGTCACTAACCAGCCATTCACAGAAAGCCAAATTGAGATTTTATTTTTCTACAGTTGAGAGAAGTAGAAATGGAAAACAATTTCCCATTGTTCCAAATAGCTCTCATGTTGATAAAAAATTAAATTCTGTACATCCAAGCTGAACAGAGCATGCAGGGCTACACTAAGTCTCTGTTCTGTAGTTTTGCCTAAACTGAGGACTGCACACAGCATCATGAATTCATGAAATCCTAGAGGAAGAGTCAGCCAGAACATCAATGTTTTAGATTACTAGCCCCAAATTCTTTCACACCGTGTGAATCCACCCCTCCTACCTCCATCCCTGGCTACATGGTAATAATGAAGGAAAAACACAGAAGTTTCTTTCCTTTCTAGGCTCCTCCCAAAAGAGGGTACTTTAGAAGCAATATTCAAGTCCATAAATGCTCAGAAATCTGTTAGGGATGAAACATGAGAGATGCCTTGAACGTCTCACACTATGGGGTGTCTCCAATTCCTTAATACACCCCATTGTGCATCACGGCTGGAGAATGCACTGCACAACCCATTTCCTCCTTTAACTGTGAATTTCCTTGCTTTTATGGTTTCAGATTTTAATGGTTGAATTACATTTACATCTACTTGTGCATTTGCCATCAGCAGCCAAGTTCCAGCCTTAAAGCCTTTATGAACTTTGAGAATAAGTTTCTCATAAACAACCTCATTTGGTTTATCCATATAAATTCACACAACAATTCATAGTGCTAAGAAGCTCCAGAGACACCTCTGTACTAAATGGCAGGTCTTTCTGTCTTTACTGGTTTTAAGTACTTTACAATGAATCATTGCTCAAGACAAATCGGTAATTAATTTGCAATAATTCCAAAGCCACTGGAAATGTGACAAATGTTGGTTAGCTAGAGGCATTGATCAGTTCAATTAAGTTTTAGAATCTGTGGTTTTTAGTGAGAAGGAAATAGTTCTATAACGGGAACACACCCAAATAGTACAGAAGAGCCGTCCAATCATGTAACAGAATATTGATACTATTATAGATATGCATCCAGGCTTATACACCAAAACATCTGTGTTTTCATCCTAAACACAGGAAAGTACATAAGGCAAGAATGTAGCTGGAGGACAGCTCTGGGATACCACTCTGAGAAAAAATTATGTTTTTAATCTTACCAACCCCATTATACAAATTAAATATATCTATCTTATCTGTTTATAGATTAGATAAATTTTCTACAAAAACTGAAAAATTTTAATTTGACTTTTTACTACTTTTAATTATTGCTAAAATATATAATCTTGCTGTTTCTCTCATGCATATTGTTTAAGTAAAGACCAGAAAAGGATATAATCTAAACCCTTTGTCTTCTTGTAATAGGAGGGTTGCACTCGAACCTTCTTATTTGTTCCGTAGTTCAGCTGGTCACAGTCTGTCACAGATGCCTACTGATGGGACTTCCACCATGGTTAAGAACCACAGGAGGTAGATCAGGACCATGTCCACAGATATAGAAAAGCTCATGTCACTCCACAGCTAACATCGCTCCATTGTGAAACTACACCTAATCATCAGAAAAGGCATTTCTTAAGGTATACACCCAAGTAGGGGGTGACTTGGAGAGGGGACAACAGCAACAACATTTTGGAGGTTGGAAAACAAAGCAACAATTGGTAAAGGAGTTTGCAGACCTGAAAAAGAATGGAATCATAAACTAGCAACAGAGAAAGCTAAAATCCAACATGTTTTGTGTTGCAGAGTCCTCCGAAAGCCTCAACCTCTGTAGAAACAGGGAAGAGGTGAAGAAGACTCTGAGGAGGAGGATTGATTTTAAAAAGCCTAGTAGTCAGAGCCCCTTCCCAACCTCACACAGCTGGGCATCTGCTCCTCTCAGTACAATGAAAGAATAAAGTTACATTCCCTGGAGGTAATATAGCAGAGGTTCTCCGTACAGGGAGTGAGTGTTAAGATCAGGGGTTCTACACACTGAACTTAGAAAGCGTATGTGCATATTTACCTGGCGGGGGAGATACCCTTATCACAAAAGTGGTTTTCCCAGAGTGAGGCTTAAATGCTGCATTTCAGATATGTTGACCCTGTGATTTACCCACATTTGGGAAATTCATCTGCATAATTTGTGGTAGTGGGAGACTGCGTTTGCTTCTCCCTTGGTTAAAAAAAAGAAAAAAGAAAGCCTATGTGAATGTCTGCATATGATCCCTGAAATCGGGGATCCAATTACTTTTGTCGTTCCCAGAACACAGGCAATCAGGCTTTCAGCCTAAGTAGAGGACTGGGGAATGGATTGCTCCCAAAGAGACAAAGAATACAACATTTGAGGTTCTTTAAATAAACGGCCTTGCCAGATCCCCTGCAGTAAATACTTCAGTCAGCTAATCTCACACCATGAATTTCCAACCAGCCTTTAAAAAAAAAAAATTGTTCTTAAACATGAACCATCAAGGATCAGACAATGGAAAATTATAAAGTCCAAAACAATCAAAAGTGGACACTACTTGGAGAACAGAGATAACGAAAGGAGAGAAGTTAAAGAGGAAAAGACATCACTATGACTCATAATCATTAGCAATATAAGGAAACTACTATTACTATGAAACAAGAACAGAGGACTTGTTTTTAAGGAACACAGAGGAAACATGAGCCTTGGAAAGTAAAATTATAATAGAAAAAATGTTTAAATTCAACAGAAGAGTTGAAAGATAAAGATGAGAAAATCTCCTGAAGATAGAAAAAAGGAAAACAAGAGAGGGAATAAAAGAAAAAGATAAATATCATTCACCAGTCCAGGATGCTCATTGCTCAAATGAAAAGTGGTACAGAAACTACTTGTATACATCATCAACAAGGAAAAAAAGAAAGAAAGAAAATTTATGTAATTTTTCCTTCATATACTAGACCCTGGCCAGACCCTGTGACCGTGTAAGGGGTTAGTCCTCAGAGCTCTGGCTGGCCGGGCCACATAGGCTTTTACTGAGAATTCTTCAGCAGGGAAACTGTGACCTTCTCTACTCAGATACCTGGTGCGAACTGCAATTCATGACTGCCACAAAATACCTTGACTTACACAATGCTTTTAATCTTAAAATTTCTGTATTTGATTAGTTTTTAAAATTAATTTTTTTCAAAAACAGCATTGTATTATAATTGACATATCAACTGCATGTATTTTAATGTATACACTTTAAAGTGTACAATTTGATCCATTTTGACATATGAATAGACCTGTGAAACCTTCACAAGATAATCAGCATATTCATTACCCCTCCAAGTTTCCCTATGCCCCTTTGTCCTCCCTCACCCATCTGTTCCTCATTCCTGCACTCCAAGAAACCACTGCTTTCCATCACTACAGATGACTTTGTATTTACTTTCTAGAGTTTTTTTATTAAATAGATTCAGATAGTATATATTCTCTTGCTGACTTATTTCATTCAGCATAGTTATTCTGAGATTCATCCATGTACCAATAGTTCATTCTTTTTATTGCAGAATTATACTTCATTGTGTGGATATACCATAATTTGTTTATCCTGTCCCCTGTTTAGTAACATTTAGGTTGTTTTCATTTGGGAGCTATTAGAAATAAGAATACTATAAATTTGTTGGTAAGTCTTTTTACTAACATACGCTTCAACTTCTAGTGGGTAAATATCTACAACTAGAATTACTGGATTCTATGGTAGATGTATATTTAGCTTTTTAAGAAACTTTCGTATTTTTTCTAGAGTGGTTGTATCATTTTACATTCCTACCAGATTATGAGAGTTCTAGCTGCTCTACACCCTTGCAACACTTGGTGTGGCCAGTCTTTTTAGTAATAGCCATTTATTAGATATTTTCTAAGTTTTGAAAAGAAATGCATTTTTCTTATAACATGCACAACTACTGATTGCCCACAGAGCTGTGATTTCCTGCATATCCCCCTACACCCATTATAGTGACTGATACTACTATAATTTTCCTAAGTTCCCTTGCAGCTAGAAAATTGACACATAATTCAGGACCAGAAAATGAGATCTGTGAGAGAATTTTCTGTGAAGCTTCGGAGAAAGTTTCAGTCTCTCTAAAATAATAATACTAATAAGACACACCGAGAGAGACTCCTTCCCGTCCCTAGAAGTGGCTGTGTGAGGATCTGATGCCTAGAGCATAAGGGCGAAGCTGGATACCCTCTGTTTCACTCTCCAGATGCACTCCCCTCCCTTCTGCATTCCGCTCTCAGAGAAGGCTGATCTATATGGACAAGTTAAAGCGTTCCCTTTCTCTCTGACTTCCCATTGAGTTTAACCCATGAGGAGCTCTGGCAGGTGATTGGAAGAATAGAAAGTGAGAGAAGCAGTGATTCCTCTACCCCTCTCCCCGCAGTCTTCACAGATGATGGCTCTTTCCTTATACTGAAGGTCATAGCTCTTCTCAGTCAGTTGCTCTACATGCCTCCTCTTTCCTGGTTCTAGCAGGTGTAGCTGCTCCCTCCTATTGCCTTACCACACTTAGGAATGGTGGCAGTCCTGCTGTTGTTACTAGCCCCTTGGGGAACAGCATTATCCCTTGTGGTTTCCTACACTCTGCCTATACTTTTTATAAATAATCTTGAGCTTTCCTAATTTAAAGGTCAGCTATTTTGCCTGGGACTCTTAATGATTCAGTAACTCTTGAGACAATGAGGGACAAGCCTGAACATAAAGGCCAACAACAAGTAAGAAAAAGTTGGAAAGCACCCGAGGTATAGATAACGTTGTGTTTCTGAATTAACCAATGTTGGAACTTCTTGCATCTAAGTTACTTATTTGTTATATAGGACATAATAATAAATCTTTCAATTGTGAAAAATTATTGCCATAATAAGAGCCATCTGACTTGGTAAAGAGTCAGACCATGATCCTGTAAGTTTTACCAATCATGCTGAATTTTCTTCTTATTCTTATCACTCTCCTAACTGGAAGAGTGGAATAACGTTTTGTGACTTGGACACCTCACTCACTTCACTCTGATCCCAGCCAGTTTGCAGTGGTAGGTCTTCCATGCCTGATTTTCTCATTTCCCTCTATACTGGCCTCTTGGAACTTTAATCCTGAGTTCTGACCACCGGGTTACGAACTGTTCTAAAAGGACAGTGCTATTATCAGACTCCTCCCTAGTGAAAAGGAGCTCCTTGGGCTACTCTAGAATCTCTAGCTTTATAATTTTGCTTTCTGGGAAATCTCCAACTCGCAGCTTATAGCTACTTTTCTTCTCCCTTCCAGCATCCTCTGCTGTTACTTCTTGACCACTATCAACAATGACCAGTTAAACTGATACTTCTGTTTTGGGAGTGTAACTACACATGCGCGTGCCGCACCTCCTCACAGTTTTGTTTCCATAAATAAAACATGAGTACACCTTAGGAGGGCATTTTTCTATAGCCCTGTCACCAAAATTAAATATTCTTAACAGTGTTTTGCAATAGCTCCCAGTAACAATAGCTGTTGTACTAGCAGAATTAGTAGTTACTAATTGAGCTCTATGAGTATTTACTGAGCACATACTATATTCCAGACGCTGTGATATGAGTTTTGTGTGAGTTATTTCACTTAACCATCACCACCCTCAATGGAGCATGTTGGCTGGATGGCTTTGATGGCTGTGTCCCATTGTCAAAAAAAAAGGCATGAGAGATTGAATCGGCTCTTGTTTTAATCTGTATAGCTAACAAGTAAAAAGAATACTAAGCAATTCAGAATTCTGTCAAGTTGAAAAGTCTACAGAGCTAGGTGAAAAGATGTCTAACTAAGATCAAAAGAAACACAAAGCCACTCAAATGAAGCTGCAACTTAGGTGAGGGCAACAGAATTTCTTGATCAGCTCAAGGTTAAGGGTACATAGATTATAAGACCAAACTTTTTTTTTTTTTTTAATTTAGGTGTCCATGAGATACAGTGACTATGAATAGGGCTCTACGCATCTCGCTGGGTCACTAGAAATAATTCATTCACCACCCTAGCCCCTATCTCTTGATATTCACTCTTGACTGCTTAGGAAAACATGCCCCAACACTGCTTAGGATATTATAATTGTGTCCCTAGTAGATAATTATTTTCTCAGCTGGGAAGTTTTAATTATAGAACTAGTTAAGAAAACCAAATGCAGTATTAATATGAGTATATATTAAGGAAGCATGCTTGACTTTGGGGTATTTATAATGTTTAAGATATTTTAGTCTATTAGAGAACAGGTAAAATGTGTGATTCAATTTACAATGTGTAAATAGGTAATTGATTTAGGCCTGTGAATTGAAGTTGAAATTTTATTTAGTTTATATAGTCATTGCAGTAGCTTACATACTATTAAAACATTTAGGAGAACTTAAGGTTCATAATATTTCCAGGTTTAATTTATTAGAAGCATTAGAGGTATTTTAAATGTTCTGGAAAATTTTACTTTTAAATCACACATTTGAAGTATCTAAATAAGAAATCAAATACATTTAATTTATAAATTTGGTGTAAAATGTTTAAAGGAGTTTAATTAACTAGTTTGTAAATGGAACTAAACATTAATCAAAGGCCTCATATAAGTGATTGCTACATTTGCTAGACATATAAATACAACATTATGGAACAACTAAGCTTTCAAATTTTAAGTCTAATAATTCAAACATATTTTTAGCTAAAATAAAACTCTGAATAATCTTTCCCGCATGCAGAAATCATCTTTGAAATTATTGACACTGATAAACTTCATTGCCAAAGCAAAACAGATGATAAAGAAGGTTTTAAGTTATCATGAAAGTAAAGATCTCCTCTTCTACAATTATTACATATTACAAATGTCTTCAAATACTCCCAACTTTAGGCCTATTTCATGGTACTGATACTGAGACGCAGAATGGGGTAGTATATCAGTCCATTTTCATAAAGCCATGAAGAAATACCAGAGATTGGGTAATTTATAAAAGAAAGAGATTTAATGGACTCACAATTCCACATGACTGGGAAGCCCTCACGATCATGGCAGAAGGCAAAGGAGAAGCAAAGGCGCATCTTACATGGCGTCAGGCCAGAGAGCTTGTTCAGGGGAACTCCCACTTTTAAAACCATCAGATCTGGTGAGACTTATTCATCACAACAAGAACAGTATGGGGGCAACCACCCCAATGATTCAATTATCTCC